GGCTGCAAAAGCAAGTCAGAGGCTTGGAATCCTGCAGTAATTAATTCATCTCTTGTCTCTCCAAAGCCTATCTACCATCTATGAGGCAGAAGTCAGGAGTGCGATGGAATATTTCCCACTAGTCAGAATGAGTCCAGTTTCAACAACATTCAAGATCTTTCACAAATGCCAGGACACAGCAGCCCGCTTGATTGCCCCCAATAACAAGAACGTTATTCTTGTGCTGGGTATGAGTCCAACCAGCAGAGAGTTTTCCCCTGATTCCTATTGACTCTATTTTTGCTAGAACTCCTCAATGCCATACATGGTCGAATGCCTTAATGTCCAGGACAGTCAGTCTCACTTTACCCCTGGAGTTTGGCTAATTCATCCATGTTTGGAATAAAATTGTTCTGAGCTTTGGAGCCAAATGGCCCTGGCACACTGGGTTAGCTTCAGCCTTGTCTTTTGAAATGAAATTATGGCCCTGTTCATCTTTAAAGATCGGGATATAGGTGGAGCTTCCATGTCTTGTTAATTGTTTAATTTTCCACCACCACTCATGACTGGCTATTGCAAGCTGATCCATTCATTGTAAAATCACTTAACCCTGTTTAATTCATGCTGCTTCTGGGTGTTTGGCATTTGTTGTACCTTCACCAGGTTGGGGCACGTCAATTTTGGCTCTGTCTGATGCTGCTTTTGGTATGCCCTCCTGAACTCTTTACTTAACCAGTGTTGATCTCCCTTATTAATGGTAAGGGCAGAGTGGGGAATGTGCAAGGCCATGAGGTTACAGACTGTAGTTGAATACAATTCCACTGCTGATAGCCCACAGTGCCCTCTGGATGTTAGATCTGTTCAAAATTTGTCCCAGTTAAGATGGTAATAGTGCCTTAAGATGGTAATAGTGCCATGAACACAATGGAGGCTCTCCTCAATGTGAAGACAGGGCTTTGTCTCTACAGAGATTTGTTTTGAGGAAGTAACATGTGCCTTTGAGAATGGACACCAGTAGGCATATCCAGAAGATGTTTGATAAGGTAGAAATCAAAGGCTGTTCAGAAAATAAAGGATGGATAAGATATCGGCATGGATAGAAGATTGACAAGCTAACAGGAAACAAAGAGTAGGCATATATAGCTCATTTCCTGGTTGGCAAGACATACTGAATGTGTCAGCAGGATCAATAGACAGGTCTTAACTTTTTACAATTTATATAAATGACTTGAAGAAGAGATTGAAGGTATCCTTGCTAAATTTGCTCTTGTCAGAAAGGTACATAGAAAAGAGACTCTGAAACTTGCCTTGACATATAGTAGCATTGAGCTTAATGTAAAAGGTTATCAGAATCTGGGGAACTGGGGAACTTTCTACCGTTCATTCAAAATGGCAACAATTTGTCCATCAAATTGTATCACACTTTTGAATTCAAATATCTTAACGATCAGGCAGAGCAGTGGCAGTGAAGAGAATAAAAGGAAGTAAACCCAATATGTTGGATCCCATTATCCCAGAATATCCTATCCCATGTACCCAATGATCTACAGATCGCAAATTGATCTGGTCACAGGAAGGCATATGACAGAAATATCCACAAATTGAGAGTCTAATATGACAATGACTAAGATCATGTGTGATAACTGCAGTCCTCCTTTGTCGATATGGCTCAGTTTTGCACTGGGTAGTACATACCTGGTTGAATATGTACTAAATAAGTACAATTTAAATAATATACATTTATATTTGTTGAAAGAGCAGAATATACCTTGGTGTGCAGAAACTCAGATTTTTTTTTAAAACTGCTGATGTAATTATGTAAGATCATTAAGGAGTAGAAGATATAACATCGCTTTTATTTTAGGGCTAAAGAATAAAGAAGCAAAGAGTTAAATGTTAGAATTAGTGAACACTCCTGGTTAGACTATGCGGAGTGTTTTGTAAAAACATACTTGTGAAAGAACATCATAAAAGGCACAGTTTTGTTTCACTGTGATGTTATCAGTGATAAAGGGTTAGAGTTAAGAAGATAAACTTGAGGGGTTAAGGATTTTTATTTCCAGTGGCTAAGAGGGTCAAGTGGTCTACTGACAGTGATTTCCAAAGATATTGAAAATTACAATAAGAAAAATGATGACGTCAGTGAAGCAGCAATGAAAGGACATGCCATCACCTAAAGGATTGAAAAGGAAGTTATATAAAGAGAGTGTGATAAAGTGCAATTGTCTGTCACAAATCGGTATTGAAGCAGAGTTCATGTCAAATAGGAATTTAGAAACACAAGTGGTGTAAATGCTATAAAGCTGAAATAAAACAAAAAATGTTGTAAATACTCTGCAGACCAGGCAATATCTATCCAGTGAGAATCAGTGTGAATATCTCAGTTGATGGCCTTTAATCAGAACAGGGAAAAGTTGGAAGCACAATAGTCTTTAAACAAAATCCAGGGATGTCAGTGAAAAAAAAGAACAATAGGATAAGTCTGTGATACACTGGAAACACAAGAGGTTAAATGGCAACACACACAGAAACAGCTGGAGAAACTCAGCAGGTCTAGCAGTATCTGTGCATAGGAAGCACAGTCAGTCACATGTTCCAGTGACCCTTCTTCTGAATTGATTGTAGCTAAGGAAATGTTCGTATATACACTGAACGTGGGGTCTGTTTGGGAATGTGGGGGTTAGTGGTTGCGGGATTGCTGTCATGGAGGATAAGTGGAGATGGCCCTGAAGAAATAGAACAAGAGTTGGAGAGACAAAGGAATGGATAAAGGTCAGCTTGGGAGAATTAATAGCTGCCAATGGGAGCTATTAGTCGCTTACAATAGGTTGTTTGTGGTAGCAACCCATGTGATGACAATACCTGGTGTGTGGTGTTAGGTAAGGACCTGGGAGGAAGTGCTCAGACCCTAAAATTATCGATTATTCTTCTGACGCTTTACATCAGTTTCAAAATGTCCAGTTCACTGGCTCCAGCTACCTTCTCTTTACTGAGTCCCTATAAATGTCCCCCATCAGGATGGTCTCAGAGATCTCCACTTCTTCCTAGTAAAAAGGCCTGAACTGCCCACATCTAACGCCACCCTCCACTGCCTGGTCAAGTTTGTCCTCACTTTGAATAACTTCTCCTTTAACTCCTCTCACTTTCTTGACATCAAAGGTGCAGCTATGCATACCAGCATGGGCCCCAGTTATGCCCGTCTTTCTGTGGAATACATGGAACATTCATTGTTTCAGTTTTATTCCGGGCCCCACTCACGACTCTCTTTCTGATACTTCAACGACATCATCGGTGCTGCTTCCCTCCATCATCCGGAATTGGAAAAATACATCGATTTTGCTTAAATTTTCACCCTGCTCTCACTTTAACCTGGTCCATCTCCCATTCCTCCCTTCCTTTCCTTGAAATCTCAGTTTCTATTTCTGAGGATAGGCTGGCCACCAACATCCACTGAAAATTTACTGACTACCACAGTTACCCGGACTATACATCCTTACTTCCTGCTTCCTGTAAAGGTTCAACCCCATTCTCCTAGTTTCTCTGTTCTCTGTCACATCTGTTCTGATGATGCCAACTTGGACAAAGGGCCCTCCACAATGTCCACCTTCTTCCTACCGAAGATTCCCCAGCAGCATGGTTGATAGGGACCTCAGTCGGGTCCAACCCATCTCCCACACTTCTGCCCTTATCCCCTCTCATCCAGGATCATTAGCTGCCACTTCCGCCAGCTCTAGTAGGACGCAACCACCAGACATAATTCCCCTCCCCTCCCTTGTCAGCATTCTACAGGGACCATTCCCTCTGGGGCACCTTGGTTCCCTCATTGTCCATTCACAACATTTCCTCATACCCCCATGGCACCTTTCCTTGTAATTGCAAAAGGTGTAATATCTGCCCATTTATCTCCTCCCTCTCACTATCCCAGGCCCCAGACACACTTTCCAGGTGAGGCAGCAATTTACCTACACTTCACTCAATCTGTACTCACGGCTGGCAAAATGGTCATCTCTACGCAGGGGAGATCAAATGCAGACAAGGCAGCCACTTTGCAGAGCACCTACATTCTGTCTGCAAAAATGACTCTGACCTTCCAGATACCTGTTACATCAACTCACCATCGTGTTCCCTAGAAAATATCTCGGTCTCGGGCTTGCTACAGTGCTTCAGCGAAGCTTAGCACAAGCTGGGAGAACAAAACTTCATCTTCCTTTTGGGCACCCTTCAGAATTTAATAACAAGTTCAATAATTTTAGGGCCTGAGCACCTTCTCCCATTTATATCAGTCCTCTTCCAAGGAGAGCTAATTCAATACCTCATTATACTGTAGCCTCTCTTCCCACTTTTGTATTATTGAAACAATGCAACTTTCATGCACTTCTGGGGAAGTATAGAATTTACCAGCACATGCATTAGTGCCGTTGGATTTATGAAATTTCTTGACTACATTAGATCTGGTGAGGTTATGGAAACAATGGATCAGTGGTTCGGAGCTATTCTATTTACAGTAATAGCATCAAAGTAGAATTGCTAAGACCTGCCAAAATTGTGCTGATGTTGTGCTGTGTTTCTTGTGTATTATATCTAGAATGATCACTTAACCTGTGATCTTGCTCCAATTTGACTGAGTGTATTCACAAATGAACATTTACAAACTTCCTATTGTATGAACTACAAACAGGAGTGGAAAGCATCCATGTTGATTTTAACTGCAATTCTCAAGTAACTGCTATGTTGAAGTTTATTAATAGTTTCAAGACATAAAAAGTGTTTTTGAGTGAAGGAAATGAAGATGTTATCATTCAAACATCTTAAAACCTAAGCAGTTCTGTTGTTTGAACACAGTTGGCTCTTCCCCTGCTACTTTGCAAGTGATCTTAATCTCAAACATGCATCATTTCTAATCTGCAAAAGAAATGACTCTCATTTAACATGCACTTTCAGTACACCAGAGGCACTTTGAACTTTTGAAGCCTGCAAGTTAAAAACCAACCCATTTCTGCCAGGTTGCCACCTTACTTGGTGGCACTGTTGTTTCCAAGTAGGTCTGAAAGCCTCCTCTACTGAACATTGATGTTACCTGTAGCTGAATATAATAAATGAGGATAGCCAATGTGGAATTGACGGAACTCTGTGACCTGAAGCCCCGATGCACTAAGGATTACCTAGAAGAGGTATACATGTTGTCAGCATATATCAATTCGAGTGAACTTGCTTGAATTTAGAGATTACTGTCTACAGTATCTTTAAATGGTGCTTTTTTGAGGAAAAGGAGAGCTTGGAGTTTTTTTTTCACATAGTTCTAATTTTGGCTCTAATTAACTGAGATATCTTTCTCCTAAACATGAGCTCATGGTTATGGTTTTGCACAACCAATCATTTCTACAACAAGAAACAGAAATTGCTAGAAAAGCTAAGCAGGTCTGGCAACATCTGTGAAGAGAAATCAGTGTTAATGTTTCGGATCAAGTAACCTTTCATCAGAACCATTTCTCCATATTTACATGTTCTGAGGAAGGGTCACCGGACCCGAAATGTTAACTCTGATTTCTCTTCACAGATGCTGCCAGGCCTACTGAGCCTTTGCAGCAATTTCTGTTTTTGTTCCTGATTTACAGCATTTACATATTTAATGATTTGCAATCTACAAAATGGGTTTGAATTTTATAGTGTTAGAGTGGTGACTGTGTGCACCATTCAATTTTGCACAGCATTCAAGGTTACTTAATATATTTAAACCTTTAAGTAATTTTAAATGTATTTACCATTCTTAACAGTCAGACAGAACATACATGTAATAAGCAGCTTTCTGTATTTAAAAATAAAGTTTACTGAACATCTGCATAAGTGGAGAGCAGATGTTGAGTACTTTTCAACATGGGGAGAGTGTGAAACACTTTGTAGTCACCTTAAAAAATACCTCAGAACAACAGATTTTCTAGCATCTTATGTCAATGTTATCCTAAAGAGTTTTTGCAATAATGTGGAAAAGAAAATCTGTGATTAGTCTTATGACTTCTCAACAACGTTTGAATTGAAAGTTGCTCATGTGGTAGTTTGTATATGTTTGCATGGGATAATGATTGATTCTCTTCAGTTTTTTTAGCAAGCCACTTTGCATTGTATATAGAGCTAACTTAATAAAGCTTTCATCTTCACAATTAGAACCTGTGCTTGTAGAATTGGGAGGTATTCACAAGGATAACGAATTGATGATGGATGCAAAAGATGACCTGTACAGAGTACTAATACAGCATCTGAAAGGGCTCATTTACTGATTAACAGAAAATCGTTGGTGCTTTTCGACTTTGTTATATTTTAATCATGTTATTTGCTTCACTAATCGGGTCCAAGTAGTTTTGTGTGATTGTATGATGCACAGATTCAATTAAAAACTTGTTTTAAGAAATCTCTAAAACATATTGAAGCATTTAAGGCATAAACAAGTTCATCAGTTTCACAAGACAGTTATCTCACACTCTGTAGGAACAATGTTGAAAATTTATCTATCACATTCTGAACTAGTTATTCACTGAGGTACGATTTAGGGATTCAGTCATGTGTGCATATGTTCATGTCACCATGTAAAATTAGTGCTGGGATTTCATTAAAATGATACAGGCATGTATTTAACATTCCACATGCTATTTATTAGTTGCTGCCTGTTCGGGGCATATCTGATATAAATAAAGGTTTTCATGCTTCTAAAGAGCATGTGAACATACAAAATAGGAGAAGGAGTATGCTACTTGGCCCCTCGGGGGAATACTCTGCATTTTTGCCAACGCATAAGACCATAAAATGTAGCAAAAGTAACCATTCAACCCAACCAGGCTGCTGTACCATTCAATGAGATCATGACTGATTTAGTAATTCTCAACTCCACTCTTGTCCCTTATCCTTATTATCTTTGATTCCCTTACTGAATAGAAATCTACCTCAGTCTTGAATACACTTAACAACCCAGCCTCGACAGCTCTCTGCAGTAAAGAATTCCATAGATACACTATCTAATAATGTTTCACCTTCTTGAATATCCAGAATCTATTGACTTACCTTAAGAATATTCAAATTGGAGATTTTTACATTTTTCCACATTTTACTCCACTTTCAAGATCTTTGCCCACTAACTTAGTCTTTACAAATCTCTTCTTAGCCTCCTTGTGTCCACTGGAAAGTAACATATGCAAACAACACCCCCCACCCTCCAACCACTGCCAATTCAAGAAAGAAGTCACACAAAAACAAAAACCTTTAGGTCAGCCAGTTTGATATCTGTCATGAGGAATGTGTTACAATCAATCCTTAAAGAGGCTATAGCTGTGTACTTAGAAAAACTCAAGGTAATCGGGAAGAATCAGAATGGTTTTGTCAAAGGGAGATCATGTTTAGCCAATTTATTTGAAGGCGTAACATGTGCTGTGGATAAATAAGAGCTGTAGAAGTTGTGCGCTTGGATTTGCAATAGGCATTTGATAAGATGCCACAGCAAAACTAATCGTGGAAAAAAACATATTCTGATAAATGGCTTTTTATCAGATTGGAAGGATGTAACAAGAAAGTCCAGCAGGGGTTTTGTGTAGGGGCAACAACTTTTTATAACCTATTTCAATGAGGGTGGAAAAGGTATGGTAGCTAAATTACTGATTACACCAAATCGGTAGTAAAGTATATTTTGAAGAAGACATTATGAAGTTGTGGACGGATACCAATATGTTAAATGAGTCGGCAAAAATCGAATAGTTGAAGTATAATATGGAAAATGTGAAGTTGTTCATTTGGCAGGAAGGGTAAAAATACAGAGTTTGGGGGAGGCAGTGGCGTAGTGGTGATATCACTGGATGAGTACTCTAGAACCCTAGGCTAATATTCTGGGTACTAGGGTTCAAATTCCATCAAAGTAGATGGTGAAATTAGAATCAATAAAAAGGATTGGAATTTATAGCTAATCTAATGGTGACCATGTAACCACTGAATTGAATTGAATTAGGTTTATTGTCACATGCATTTGCATGAGTACAGTGAAGAGTTTACAAATTGCCGCTGACAGCACCATCTTAGGTACAAAGGTACCTAGGCACAGAATCTTGGTAGAAACATTGTTGATTGTTATAAAATCTCATTTAATTCAACACTGTCCTTTAGGGAATGAAATGTGGCATCCTTACCTGGTCTGGCCTACATGCGACTGCAAACACATAGCATGGTGGTTGACTCTCAAGTAATATCTGAAAAGGCCTAGACAACCAATCAGTTTAAGGGCAGCTAGTGATAGAGAACAAATGACAGCCTTGCCAATGGTGCCCTCATTTCATGTAAGAGCATTTTATGTAAGCTGCTAGCACAACAGTCCCTCAAAACTCAATTTGGTTTCTCCAGCAATCATACACCATAGAACAATCTTATATCTCTTTTAAAACTTTTCTCTCCAAATCATTTTGCTTTTTGTAAACAGCAGGCAGTACCCTGTACTTTTTGACCTTTTGACTTTTGAATTCCAGGATGCCATATGGTAAATCCAAATGTCTAAAAGTTTAATTTTCCACTTCTCATAATCCATTAATGTGTATGTTTCTAACAGCTTGAGAGATCATATGAAGGATTAGCTGCTCCCTGGAGATTTTATGACCAACATCAGTCGCATTCTATTTCCTTTATGTTCCTCCTCCTCTTCTTGCTGCATTCTTATCCAGCTTGTGTAAAGGGCTAGACTTTGTGAACGCCTCAAGAATTTATTGCCAATGCCCAATTGTACTTGAAAGGATGGTAGTGAGTCACATTTTTGAATTGCTACAATTCACATGGCGTAGTTACACCCACTGTGCTGTTACAGAGGGGGCTCCATGATTTTAAAACAGTAACGGTGAAGGAAAAACAATATAGCACCAAGTCAGAATCAAATGTGGAGAACTTGCAGATGGTGTTGTTTCTATGTGTCTGCCGCCCTGCCTTTCTAAGTCATAGAGTCCTGTGGTTTGGAAGATGCTGCTGAAAGGGAGTCGGCAAGTTGTATCATAAAGTGTCCTAAATAGGTGGCACACAGTGCTGCCATTGTCTGCTGGTGGTGAATGAACTGAATGTTTAAGGTGGTGGATGGAGTGCAGATCAAACTGGCTCCTTTGTGCTGGATGGTGTCAAGCTTAAGTATTGTTGAAGTCATACTAATCCAGGCAAGTATTCCATCACACTCCTGAACCATGCCTTGTTGATGGCAGACAGACTTTGTGGAATCAGGAGGTGAGTTAACCTCACAGAATCCCCAGTCTTCAACTGATTTTTTTATGGTTTATGGGATTTTTTGCCCATCTCTAATTGCCCTGAGGGTAATTAAGAGTCAACTACATTGCTATGGGTCTCTAGTCACATTTAAGCCAGACCAGGTGAGATAGCAGATTTCCTTCCCTACAGGGCATTTATAAACCAGTAGCTACTTAATTCCTATAATTGGTCCAGTTCAGCTTCTGGCCAGTCCTTTGGATGTGGTGTTAGGGGAAGCACAGTAATTTGGGCTGAATGGGCAAAAATTTATAAAGTAAGTTGTAGCTCAGACTGTGTGCCACTACAGAATGAAACACAGAAAAAAATGGAACCAAAGGACCAAGAGAAAAACTCACATAAGGTGGGAACAGATAGCCAGGGAAATCACCAATGAAGTCATTTAAAGCACATAGACGTAGGGCTATTTAAAGAAGTGTGCAATTCTTGTTCAATATGGACATTTTGTTGGGAGACTCCATTGTGGCAGCACAAGGGGGAAATCCATTAAATTCACAGAATGCAAATCTTCCAATATAACTACAAATCGGAGGGTATCTCTCATGCAGCAGCAAAGCATACGAGTATCACCACTACAGCAAAATTAAAAACCTTAAAAAACACACATAACATCCCATTAGAAATGATGGGAAGATTTAATTTCAGAGATGGGTTGGATAGAAAATTAGACATTCTAGAGAAATCAGTTCTTGATGTATAGAATAGTGCGTTGCAGTGAAGGTAATGTCATGGTGCCAGCTAAAGGTAATGTAGAATCATAGAATCCCTACAGTGTGGAAACAGGCCCTTTGGCCCAACAAGTCCACACCGACCCTCAGAGCATCCCACCCAGACCCATCCCCCTATAACCCACCTAATCTATACATCCCAGTACACTACGGAGAATTTAGCATGGCCA